TAGCGTGTAATTGTTTACAAACAAGCGTCTACTCATGAGCCTAGCGTGTGTCGTTATCGTCGCTTGGGACTCATTTCCTGTGCGTGCACAGGCGATGACCCTCCCACTTTAAGCATCTATTAAAAACAGTTTTACCGGTATATTTTTAAAATTTTTTTGCGTTAGGCAACAATTCACAATATTTCATCTGATTCCTTTTGTGCAAAGTGCAAGTGTGATGACAGTCACAATTCGTGTAAACAAGTAATGTAATTGACAGTAACTTGCTTGTTTCATTTTTCACAACTTTTCTACAAAAGTTCACTCCGCTATTTCAAATGGTTTTCCCCGTAATAGAGCTAGTTTGGTATGTTTATGTTTCTGGATCAGTGTTTAAAAATGCTATAAAATAATATTGACTCTTAACTGCTCACATGGAGAGCACTTTAACACATATGTGAACCAATTTTTGCATAAATTAATGTATATCACCAAGAAACAGTTGGCTTTCATGGTATTTTACTATATGTTATAGATAAAATAAAAGAAGATTGGTCCTTTAAAATTGCATTATCTGATAACCAGAGTACATGTGTTGTGTATTGACTGATTATTTTTATCTAGAAAATTCTCACTGTTGCCATTACTGCTGTACAATAATTCATGAGGGCTACAACTTTGTGTTTTCATTATTGCAACTTTATCCATATTTTAATTAATCTCATAATTTAAATTCACTATTTTTTTAAAAATAAATTTACATATTCAATTCTTAATATTTATTTATATTTTAAATTCCTTTTTATAGTTTAAAATGTATTCGTAATTGAATTTCCAAATGCTTGTAATTTGTAATTAGTTTGCTTTTCAAAATAGATTTGCATTTTTACTTTTTGCACTTCAAGTTTAGAATTGCTTTTTCACATTGTTTTTTGAAAGTGTAAATTTATTTTCAAAAGAAAGTGGAGTTTTAATTATGAAATGGATAAAACGACAATTATGAAAATATGAAGTCATGCCCCTCCTTGGTTGCCATACTGTTATAATTATTAACCAAAATAGGGAATGATATTTCTTCATTTAATGCTCCCAGTAAATTTACATGTTCACTAAAAAATAAATTCTATTATTATAAAAATAAAAGACAAATTGATAAATGGTCAATACAGTCTAATCTTTTCAAGTTCAGTGTTTTACATTTACAGGAGTTTTGTGACCTCGGCTAGATTGGTGAGATAACAAATCTACTAACCACTTTCTCCAAATTACTGGTTCTTTGACGATGAAAATTTGACAAACATTTATTCACTTCAAGAAGTAATATGATTAATTTTGAGTATTTTCAGATAATTTTGTTTGATATTATCACTATATATATATATATATATATATATATATACACACCATATTTGCTCTATTAGGAGCGCATCTCCAGTAGAAGCATATGTAAACAGTTGGATACATACCCGTAATATACTGGTTCATCAAAATTTGACTTACCGGTATTTGACCATGGCAAATACAAGTAATTTGAAACGCACTCTGACAGACTGACAAATTCTGCTGTTTGCTGCCAAAATATGTATTTTATTTTATGACAAATCTTACTTACATATTTTTTCCTAATTTTTTTTTTGTTCAGCTGTGAAAAATATGAGTAAAGTGCTTACGCCACAATTATTTTTTTCCTAGCTCAACAAAAAAAAATATTAGGGAAGAATACATTTTTTTAATTGTTTTTTTCTGACTTTCTATTGGTCAAGAAAAACTTCAACTATAGGTTTTTAACATCGGAAATTAAAATGATACGACTGCTCTGAAGTTGTTTGGTTTTTAAGATGCTGTGTGTCTGTTTTTTAAAAGGCTATTAAATCTGACATGATGTCTTGGAAAGACTGTGGAAGTATGAAAACTAGTGTTTAGTCTCAATCAGTGTAGTCTTTGCTGTATGCAGTGTACCTCCTAGCAGTCTTATTTAAATGGAAACTAATTGTCTGGAATTTCTCAATATGTGACATTTTAATTTGAAACATGATCTTAGAATGGGATGCTTTAATTCTTAGTGTTTGTAAGTTTCTGGGACAGCACTTACTACAAGTTGGAGTTAAAAAATTTTGTAGGTTTCTATGACAACCAGATGAGACTTCAGATGAAATTTTAAATGTTCACTGTTTGGAAATAATTTGGCAGTGATCCATCAAAGTCAATTTTAGTTGCGATCTATATTTAGTTAAAGTAACTATTTATTGAGTCACTAATCTCAAAAGGTTACCGGTATTTCTGAATTGCAATGGATTTGGTGATCATGAATTGATCTATTTGAAAATGAGGATTAGCATAAAGAGAACTAGTATAAACTGATGTATGAATAAGTGTGTGCACATATTTATAAATCAGTACCACTAGGTGAAAGGTCATCCACTGATCAAACAGATAAAATAGGTTTTACTGAACTTAGAAAATGTCAAAAGGAACTCCTTGACGATATCCAAATAGTATTTTCAGACCCCTTAACTCAGCACCAGTTCATAGTAGTACTCCTTAGGAAATAGTCTACATTTATTTTTATTTCCTTTAAAATATAGGTTTCACAACAACTATATAACCAAGACTTTCATTTTCTCAGTCAGTTGAACTTCAGATCTGTGTGAATTGAAATTATGGGATACCTTGGTTTTGTAGTCAAGTTTTTGTGTCATCAGATACTCACTGGTTAATGAACAACTAAGTAAATAGTATCAAATGTCTACCAATTTTAACATCAATAAATAACCTCATAAACAATTAGGGTATACTGTTAATTAATTTCTAATTGGAATATATTCTAACATTTTTTGTTTATAAAGCACAGAGAAACAACTTAAATTTGTTTAGATGCATAGTTTGTAAATTGCAGTGAGTATAAACAAAGTGGGTTTTTACTGCCAGAACTCATTTCAACCTTGAGTTTATTCATCAAATTTTCAAAGCATCAAATCTCTGTTTCACACATGCATTCATTTTTCATCTGGGAAACTTTTCGAACAATTAAATATCTAAGAAATATGCTCCCGTGAAATATCATCATGAACTCTTTTGTATTTGTCTTTTCTGGATTCTAATGACAGAAATTTGTTTTATGTAAACTTTTAGATTACTCTGTTATTTTTGCAATGTGTGTGTGTTTCTCTTGAAATGATATGCATGTACTGGTGACCTGTGACCTAGTACTGGTGACCTATGACCCAGTGTTGGTGACCTATGATCTAGTATTGGTGACCTACGACCCAGTGATTAATTGTACACTTACTTTTAGATAGGTCGATAAGCAACCTATTAAATACGAGTGAAAAATTTATCACAATATTTTGTTTATAGTGCCATATTTATTGATTTGATACATGTCATCAAATTTTCATGTTTTATCTTTCAGTATAAAAGATTTTTTTTGGAGAAAAACTACCCCAAAAAAAAACAATTTCAGAATAATTACCATAGGAAGTTGTATTAAAACATTATTTTGTATAAAATGAATAATAATTATCAGAATGTCTTAATAATTTTTCACTATCATAAGTGTTACAAGTACATAGTGTTTTTTTCAGTGTATGTAACGGAACCAAATTTTGAGATAATGTGAAAACTTTTTTGTTTTGAAACGAATGATAAATGAACCACAAATCACCTTTGTTATGGATGTTGATCTGTGTTTTGTGCGCAAAGTAGTTTGATGCCCGTAAATTTTTATTTGGGTTTTGTGAACAACACAAATCACTTTTGACCAAAAAAAGAACATTTTTGCGCATATTTCAAACTACAGTGTCCATTAAAAAATTTTAAAATTCATACAATAAGCTTTCTGAAAATATATAGTTTTGTGAACAAGGGAGGTTATCTTGGTTTCCTAATTAACTAATTAAAATACCTGTCAGGTAAACTGCATCTCAAAGTGTTTGCTCAATTAGAAGC